TGCATGACACCTCGGGACTCATTGCCTTTAGTGGCTTCTCAGCGTGCTGAGAGAAAGGGGGGGTGATGGAGCGAAAGGATATGACTTGATCTGGGGCGAGTCGTTGGTAGTAAGAGTTCCTAGTACCGTGACGAGGCTAAGGAGGCAAGGCTAAGAGGGAATGGACTTGGCTAGTCGCCCAGCCAGTGCAGTGACGAGACGGAATCGAGGGGTGGAAGACGATATTGAAGTCATTAGGGACAGGCTAGAATCAAAGTAGCCGAACAACGTGAAGTCGAGCATGAATCGGGTGGTGGGCTTTAGAGGGGGTGAACGGAGATGGTACCACGAGTGTTTTTGGATAAATCAATCAGCCTGGTGCGGCTTTGTTTCTCGCAGGCCGTTCTTCTTTCTTTCAAGGCCAGAGTCACACCAAGATTGATTTAAAAATGGCTCCAGAGGCACTTGCCGGCGTAAGGGGGGAAATACATCTTCGTGATGGGGAGAGGCGATAAAAGGAGGCGAAGTGAGGTAGAGCAAAGCATCCAGATACAACCACGAGGCTGTACTTTGCCTCCCAGGGCGCGAGAACGCGAAAGGGTGTCCCTGTTGGATCTAGTAGAGTTCAATAGAGACAATAGGGGTGACGACGGACGCCGCAAAGGCACTTAGGGGGCGAGTCAGCATGACCATGACCCAGTTCTCGGTCAAGAGCAAGGAGGGTCCCAGTACACCTTAGGGCCTCGCCGCCTCACCCAGGCGGACCGACGCTTGACAGGCAGCGCACGAGACGGGTGGGACTCGTGAGGCAATAAACTTCGTCGCCGGCGGCAGCGGAAACGGCTTCTTGTGGCCGCGAGCCTCAAGCGCGCCGTCAGGTTGAGTGCCCGCCCTTGCAGCCTTGGTTTGCCGGCGAGGTCTTGATGAGCAGCATCAGCACGGAGAAGAGAACGGGGGGAGGGAGGGGAAGAGACAGACCAGACTTGGGGAGTGCGAGCAGTGGCTGGCGGCTGACAAACGGGCGTGACTGTTGGTATTTTTTCCTTCTCTTGGCTTGAGTTACTAATTTTCTAGCATCTTCTCGGGACTGGGAAGAGCACGTACTGTTTGTGACCCCCGTTCCACTAGCCCGCCAACTAGACAGTCTCCTCCGTGTCTAGTACTGGGTGGACTGGGGGTGAAACTTGGTGGCATTTCTTTCCGCCGTTCTCGGAAGATGCCATGGTGAGCATTTGCGAAAGACGGGCAATGATGGTCGTTGTGCGTACGCTGACCTACTGGAGCACAAAGGCCGCTATCTCGTGGCTACTTGAGGCAGTTCGGGCCGGAGAACAAGGACCAGGCGGGAGGCAAGTGGCGTCTCGAGAGGCTGAGAATCCGAATCATGGCAAGGGAACAGCCGGCGAGTCGAGGTATAAGGATAGAGGACAAGGCAGCAGTTCTCTGTACGGAGTACAGCGAGAAGTTTATGGCGGGCTGTGGCTTAATGGGCTTGTCCTGGTGGCAGTGAGCTGAGTAGCTGAGACCGCGGCTGAGACAAGGCAATCTGGAGGAGCCGAGACATTCGAAGTAAATCCGAAGCGTGTGAGATGGACGGAAAATCCGATTTGATTCTGCGCCATTGATGATAGTTGGAGAACTGCGAAGAAGAGAAGAAAGATTGCGATGAAAAAGAGAAGTGAGAGGAAATGAGAGAGGAAGAAAGGAGGTCAAGGGAAGGAACTTTCAAGTGAGGGGGTGAACAACGGCATCAAGTAGCTGACAAAGTATAGAACAGCAACGAAAAGCACCCATCACTGTGTCGTTCTGGCCGAATGGTACCTATGGGGAACACCAAACTCTCCGAAAAGGAATACTAATGATGCAGTCGCACCTGCTTTTCAAGTGTGTTCTCCCAAGAGTACCTGGTGCTCTACGCAGACTTCTTTTTTTTTTTTTTCAAAGTTACTTTCCATCAAGCAATCATACCAAAAATGCGGTTGCACTCATAGCAGGTACATTTGAGATTGACGTTGGAATGAGGGAGAATAGTATCTGTTGTCTTGGTTTCTCCCCCTTTTTTTCATTCATCCGTCATCAAGCCGCCATAAAATCAGTGGTGTAAGTACTCGCTGATAACGCATCGAAGCACCTCGAACAGTACAAGAAGAATGCCAGGGCTAAATAAATCACGAGCCCCTTGTAAAAAATCCAAATCATTGGGCCTTTCATTGAGAACGCTATTTAAAGGGAAAAAAGGGGTTTGAGATTGGCTTTCCGCAATGCCACTCTGCCGGATGTGGTACCTGCATGAGCCAGATCGTCGGAGCCGCGACTGGAATGCAAATGACGTTTCCGGCGGCCACCTCGTCGAAGCTTCACCTTTTTCTTTCTTTCTTCTTCTTCTTCTTTTAAATACGAATAAACTACTTTTGCTTCTCTCTTCTATCCTTTGCGTAAATTCCATTTCCGGCATTTGATATTGATAACTGGTTTGGTAAAGGTTGATCTAACAAGGACCTGTGCTGCCTCGTAATTCATACTCAGGAGGCGGCTTCACACTTTTCGCCACAGCCAACCCGAACTCTATTCAAATATGCTCCTCGTACTTTGTCTGCCACCCGTCAACTGCCTTTGAGCACGGGGCCGCCCGAAAAGGCCCGAGGCCCGACAGCGAGGGATCGAAAAAGCCCGCTGGCGCCTCGTTTGATCGAGGAGACAAGGGAGGGGGGGACGGACTGGTACAGTATGGAACGAGCAAGACTACGACGACTACGACGAGAACTAAAGGGGCTCGACCCCGGCGTAGCCGAGCGTGGAGTCATCTCCATTTCTCTCGGAGAAGGGAGACTTGTCGTTGTTGGGAGGGCATGTATCCTGCCTAACATGAAATCAACGAGAGAATTTTGCCTCTTTCAGTCTCGTGGACCTCGTCAGATGTCATGTTGGCACGCTGATGTGAGCACGGGATGCTTCATCCCTCATGATTATGGTGTGCTGGTGTTGGGCAGTCAAGGGATTCGAGTCACCTCCCGGAGATACTTCGTTATTAGCTGAAAAAGAGTTTCGTCTCGTAGCAAGTACATCCGTTCATCGAGCCACCCCAACCCATCCACCCACTTATCGCCATATCCACCCATCTGACGCCTCTCTGGGGCTCTCGGAGGCGACATTTGTAGCTGAATGAAGCTAGAGCCCGGTGCTTTGCTCTGTCCAACCGTCTCTGACGCAATGTAGAGTGACTTTGGTCTTCAGGGGGGGGGGAACTTCAGGAGAGAAGGCAGCGTGAGGTGTAGCTTCGGGTGGCTAGAGTGCCGAGTCTAGCTGAAGGGACACCAAAAAAGGTATGATATTGCTTTTCTTGGGCCATGCTTCGTCGAGCTGGCGGTTGCTGGATGTATTGGTACCGACTCGGACCGCGAGTTCGATGAGTTTGCGGAAAGCCCCATGAATTCGGAGCGTATCTTGGATGGTAACCCAGCAAGTCGTCTGGATCTATCAGGTCCCACTCGTCCCAAGGCACGTCCTCGTTCACCAGTCCACGCAGCCAGTCCTGGAGATGATTTATCATATCTATTACCACCAGCAGAAGCTCCGGGGGAAGCTGTTCAAGGTCGTTAAATAAATCATCGAAACCATAATCCGAATCGCCCATTGTGGGAATCTGCTTCAACGCAACTAGAAAAAAGGGGGGTCATTAGCGGGAGATCAAGGGCGTAGGAGCGAAAGAAAATATCCTCTGATGAGGGTTTATTACCTGGAAACGAACGAGATCAAAACAGGAGCCTGCTTTGTGACAACGCTCATTTAGGTATCACTGCTTAGGGAGTCGAAACGAGATGCTGATGCTGATGAAGATTGTAGGATCGAGGATGCTGGAAGTGAGAGATTTTCGTCCTGGATGAAACTTTTCAAACGCTGAAGAAAGACCTACGTTTGGCGTTATTTTCTGATTCTTTTGCCATGTGGCTTGTGCCGCAAGGCCGACAAGGAAAGTGGGAGGCAGCTGGAGGCAGGCGCCAAAAGGGGAGGAAAGACCGTCACTGAAAATAACACAGGCAAGAATGGCTTAGCCGGTATGTGTCTAATGACGAATATGATATTTAGAGGCATCTATTAGCTTTTAATTTCGTTTCAATCCATCGCTCTTTCCTGTCGTTTCTTTTGCATCCATCGCCGTGTCGAACATGATGACTGCCGGAATGGGCTACTTAGAATTATTATCTAGATAGAATTTATTTAAAATAACGTCCCGCTAATAACGGCTCGTCCCTTTGGTCGTCGCTCCAAAGAGGAAAGTTTTGGCGCCATTTCGGCCAATGGGCCACGGGCTGCGTTTATTAGTGACGACAGGCTAACTGCAACGAGTTGGGCCGCCAGCTTAGCAGCAGAGCACACTCAGTACTAAGGGAAAACAACAAGATGAACGAGAACAAAAATATCAAAGCATAAAAATCAAGATGGGAATGTTGATTCGGAAGTCTGCTGGAAATGCTTGGACGCTTATGCGCAATCTTAGTCACCATTTACCAGTGCGGTACTTTGAAAAAGAGAGTCAAATCAGAACCGCGGCGTGGATGATAATCTATCGATTTCTTCAGCTACTCCGTAGGGGGATGGACGAACGGGCATTCGACTCAGAACCTGGTTCCCCCGGAGTGTTGCTTTCGGACGGCTTTTCGGATGATCCCAAACATTGGCATTCGCAACTAGTTTGCACTTATAACGGCTCAATGTGACGTTCCTAAAGTGCTTTAGGCAGGAGATGAGGATGTTTGGCGGGCAATAATTTGTCTGCTGTGGACTTGACAGGCTAAAGAATGGCACTGTTACTCTCCGCGGAGTATTTCTACCATTAAGCTTATTATGTCTAATGTTCTGAAAATAGATTCCTTATATAATTTAGCCTTACGATTACTGATTATATATAAAATTGTCCATCCTCTATTCCACCGCTCAAATTTTCCTTAACCTCTATTCTCATCTCCATCGCCCGTTTCTCAAGTCTACTTCTTCTTTCACAAATTATCACGCAAGTAAATATGCGATCTGCCGTTTGGACCCTTACCCTCCTCTTGCCCGCGTGGGTGGTGGCCGAGAAATACGTCCTCTGGAACAGCCAGACGTGTGAAGAGCAAGTCGAGGATGGCATCTCGTTCTCTCGCTACGCAACCTACAAGGATTCCGTCTACTGCTTCGATTTCTTCGATAATGTCGTTGCAGGCTCAGTCAGCCAGAGCAAGGACACGGTATGCCAGGTGTACACCGGCACTGGCTGCAGTGGCCAAGAGGTACAGCTTACCTGCACTGCCAACAACCTCTTCGACCCTCGTCTTTGCTGCACGGACACTCCGCAGGGAATCAAGTCTCTCCGTTGCTGGAACCAAGAGTAGCTTGAGAACCAGGATACAAAGGCTCGGAGGAGACAGAAAAGATAAGAAGATGCGCTGAAGTGTGCAGGAGTGGGTGCTGGACTTGGCGAAATTGCATTGAAACACATTCCGCTAGACTGTATCCGCATAAAAAGGTCGGGGGAGCTCTTGGGTTTTGGAGGGGCTTTGACAAGATCCGTATGGTATATATTATCACTGGTCAGAATGAATGGTAGCCCGTTTGTGTATGCGTCTCCAGGTTCACAAAGCTAGACCTGCCAACAGCATCTAGCGCCAATAAAGTCTCACATCTTGCTCTGCTCAGGCACAAGTAGCCTTATCTGATAATTCAATACAAATGTAACGCTGCTGTTGCAATTGTAGCTCGAATTGGTGGTGTGATTATCAACCACAGTTGGGCTCCGGTATAGCTTCAGACTGACCTGCGATCTTCCCTTAAGCGGGTTTCGAGCTCTATCTTGGGGATTTGAAAGCTAATAATTTCGAAAATACGACTGGGCAATTATGTCGAATATATTTCCAATTGCCTAACCGAGGATCGGTATACAAAGGTTGAGTAGGGCTCGAATTCGTTTCGTTTATTTAGCCTATTGAGCATGGTACGTTTCGTCAGCTCATGGTCTGAAAAGGGAAAGAAAGACGACGATGCGATGATACCAATGCTTGTGAAAGCACAATCTTCAACAATAGAGGACTCGAGGGAGACAGGCAACGGCCAAGAGAACGGCCGCGTGTCGTGGCGTGAGCAGTCACCCTTCCATTATCTCGATTTCCGGTTCTGGAGATTTTCAAAGGGGCGTTCAAAAAGGCCATGACATGAATCTGGCGTTGACGGATTCCAGTTGCTTTAACAAAAGACTGATCACTTGTTGACAAATGATGAAAAGTAGAAACGCAGGCGTGGGATGGCCAAACAGAGATAGCCATATACAATCACGTGAGGACCAAGGCCCAGGGGTTCGAGCTGCGTATTTGTTCACGGCAAAAGTTGTGGCATTTCTAGTTTGGAAATGTCACTTTAATATCGATTTTGTATAGATCTGGCATATGCCCGAACCAATTATTCTCTATCGACCTGCATATGTATGCCCGTGGTGCCCTATGGGGTGTGACGACCATCCTGGTGTGCCCTCCAAATTCGTAGCAACAGACCAGTGCTCCAGCTTCGTAGCACTAGATCTAACAGTTTACCGACATGGGAGTTAAAGTATTGCTAATGCCGCTTCGTCTTTGTCCACTTATTTCCTTTTCTTCGGGGTGGCTTGCGAGTATGTGCTGTCTTTTGTCGATTTGGTTGCTCCAGCGATTCGGCATTTTCTCTCTCCAACGTGGCGAGGGTTCTCTCTATCTCGTTATTTTGCTCGACCATGCCGCGATAACCTTGATATAGGTTGGCTTTTCTCTCATCGCGGAGGGTAGCTGTCTCTGCTCGGTCCATCTCCATTCGATCATCTTGGTGGAGATTTCGTGGTGCGAATCCCAAGACCTCCATCAGTGCCAACATCATTTGTAACGTTTCGTGTATGATCTGAGTGCCCTCTAGCCTTTCGTCAATTTGTTTTCGCATATCGTCTGGCTGGTTGCATGAAATGACAAATTGGAAACGAGTAATGACAGAGTACTGGCGAGAGAGACGGAGAACTGAACGGTCGGCTTCGTGTTTCGCCTTGATATATATCCAAAAAAAAAAAAAAAAAAAAAAAAAAAAAAAAAAAAAAAAGTGATGAGTACAGATAGACAAATGGGCTTCTCGCTCATTTATGAGCTGATCGAGGGACAAATACCCGGCGCAGGTGAATCAAGCAGGACAATGAAAAAAAAATTGTCAAAGCCTTGGCTTTGTTGTAGGGATTTTTTAGTGTTCGCTTGTCATTGTATATGTAGCGGACATTGGATGGTGACCAACTCCTCCGCCTCAAACAAAGCGTCAATCTAAACAGTTATTCTTTGTTCATTCTTCTGTCACTTCGTGGTAAAGTGCTAAAGTGGTAAATGCTGCAAGATGCTACGGCCCATACTAAAGCTTGTAGAAAATTAAAGGCGTAAAATGTAGTATATTGGCAAATACCGGGCGAGCCTGGATACAGATTTGGTTGATCGATTCATTTCCATATAAAAGGGATGGTCATATAATGACTCCGCCATCGGTATCATTTCCATCTTACAGGCTCTCCAATGTTACAAACTCTCGCATTTACACAATGCAGTACCTCATATCTATGGATCGTGTGCTGCCCATTCTCTATATGCGTCCCAAACACTCCTCATTCGATCCACTTGGCCAGGCGTAAATTCTTTGTAGCAGGAACTACGGAGTCAAGTTAGTCGTATGCACCACCAAAACAAAGAACCTCGAGAGCAGAGGCAACGTTCTGGACGTACTCGTACGAATAATCCATGAAATTGTGGATTGGATCCAGGCCTGGTTTGTCAGGGCAAGAGTCTCTCCCTTCAGGGCATCCGTTGGAGGGAGACGCCTGCGCAGGCGTATCATCAACGAAGTCGCCGTCGCCGTCGCATCCCCCTTCAAACGTATGCAGGAGTCCTAACCAGTGACCAACTTCATGCGTGAGTGTCTTTCCGAGGTTGTAGTTGTTTAAGCTACCACCAGGGACTGTATCTGAGCGAATGGTGCAGCCGTCTTGCGAAAGAGCCAAATCAAGGTCATCGCCCGCGGTGGGAACGGTACAAAGACCAAGGGTATGGAATGTAGGGATAAACCAAAGGTTCAGATCGTTATAACTGCCATTACGAACAGAGTACCACATGAACTCGAGATCTGTGCCGTTAGCCCATGTCTTGTTGATGGTTCTGTCCATGGCTTTTAGGGTGAAGGAGATATTGGCCGGCTGGTAATCGGAGCTTAGAACTTGTAGCTGGCTGTGGATAGTCTCATCCTATCCGTTGCTTTAGTGTTTGACAATAAGAAGACTCAAAGGCGGGATAGATAAAGGAGCTCAGGAGATGTGAAATGGAGGAGGAAGAATGGTATGCGACTTACGCTGAGATATCCATCTGCCTCGTTCTGTGAGCTTGCCACAATGTGTACATATACACTAATACCAATCTCCTGGGCAACCCTCCGACCTAGTTTTCGGCCGACGGCCGCTTCTTGAGCAAAGAGTTGGGAGATTTTCCCAGACTCGTCATTGGGAGATGAAATGCATCTAAGGTTGCTGGAATCGAATGTATTGCCCATGGTTGTAGGTGCAAGAGCCGAAATGGCCACAATGCTGGCCGCAATAAAATTCCAGGTAAACATGTCGTGTTCCTATATATCACAGTTCTAGTACCATCAAGAACAGTAGGACAAATACATGTATGTTATACGATATTCTCGCAGGAATATATGAAGAAGGGTGAACGACGGGGTTGGCTTGGTCAAATCGACGAACTGGCAGTAAACGGTGAATATAAACAAATAAACAACAGTAGAACGGTAGATAACCTTTGGTACTCAACATTATTCAACGCTAGTATAAACTGTATCTCGATTTGGATGTCGTTGGTTGGAAATTAACTCTTCCCCTTGTATATTATGGAGCTGTTGGATCGCGTCTCTCCCAATATTACATCTGGAATCTTGGATGCGGCTCTATGACAGCGAGTCAGATAGGTGGATTGAAAGATAGCATCTATTTCCACATCAGCATACGGCGTATTTCTACAAAAGAACATTTATGCTTGCCACCCTCAATTTATCGTGGTACATCCAGCAGTTTGGATGAAGCTATAGCGGTCAATCTAATATTAGCTTCTATGGCGCCGCGGACGCCACAGAGAGATGGCGTTGATAAAGGCCCAAGTCCAGGCCACTGGTTCTTAATTCCGCGGGTATTAGAGAAGCCATTGCACGATGCTGTTTATCCTTTGGAGGACCTCTCCTCTTTTTCGAGATACAGTATCCTCAAGAGATGGTAGAGTGCGCTGTCGTGGCGTCGTTGAATTTTTCCCTCTTGCGAGAAGCCTACTTGGAATATTCTCATGTTTGCCTCGCATGCAGCGAGAGAGATTCTCCTCTAGCTCAATGGGAAAGGAGTGAAGAAATATGCTCTAAAGTTACCCGAGCAACCGTTGCGCAGGAGATAGCTTGTCTATGTTTCCCGTCCGGCCGTTGCCCGGAAACTGTGATGTACCGCTGTTCTGGTCGAGGATGATGCAAACGTGGAATAAATTGGTAATCGGAGTAACCAACCGATATGCTTTGCCTCGTGGGGAGGATTTCCAGGGGATTGGCGCTCCATCTTGTCAAGTCCTCAGCTGGTGGTAATCATCCAAGTAAGAGATGTGTGGTTTCTCAAAGAAGCATGCTCTTTTTCTGTAGTGAAAGCGGATCATTAATTAGCATCAGTACTAATGACTATTATCATCAAGACTCCTGGCATACCTACCTACTTCGAAAGCATAGATGACGTTCAGCGGCACTATATTGCAAGCCTCGCCGATAGCTTGTCAAAGGCAGGCCAACTTGGGCTCGCGGTGATGCCATTAGTATTCGCTGTCATTGATCGACACGATGGCGATTGATGACTGGGCTGCTTCCGAGTCACATTAGAAGAGGAAATAGGAGAAGAACCACCAGGGAAATCTGTAGCGTCCAACGGGCAAGCTACATGGGAAGTTTGTTCCTAGGCCTCAGCATCCTGCACAAGAGGGTGCTGTTGGGATCTTGCAGGCGTAGAAAAGGTGCCCCAAGCTGGGCAAATTCGAGATGCTGACAAGAGACAAATTTCGGGCATAGCCATGATGATGCGACATGGGTCAATGATTTGGACCTGGTTTTGAAAGATGATGAAGGAGGGAGAAATTGATCCAAGGAGAGAGAAGGCGTGGTTGTTGTTTTGGCAAGCAGTGGCCAGTCCGAGAGGGCAGAATCAAGACACCCAGTTTTTGTACTGATCAATCCTACCAAGGTACTAAGGTATTGAGGCTTCAAAACACAACATGTGACTTTTATATCAATCAAGCAATGAATCGGCTACAGCAGACACATCGTCAAGGTACCAAATCTTTTACAGCGTTCCAAGCATGGCGTGTACGCCCAATTCCTTTACGGAGAATCCAATAATCTAGGGGCTCTTCATCTTCAATTTCTCTCGTATCTTCAGATCCCAAGTTCAGAGTCACTCAGGCAACAACAAACGTGATTTGATGTTAACAAACTATCAACTCGACGCTACTTTGACTTGACAAGTTGCGAATTTGTATAGACTAAATGTAAAAAGATGTCGCTCTCACGCTTGCTCAACGTAGCAGTGGTAATTCGCCATAACAGGGGGGGATAGTTATCGGAAACGATGAAACGAAAGGGAACACTTGTAGCAAAACGATGCCTAGCTAGCACCGTCAAGTGCTGGGAAATATATAATAAAAAAAAAGAGATATCCTCCATCTTCCAAACAATGACTCCTGCGATTCTCTGTGTATACCCATCTGCATATATATTGGTGCATAGACCCCCGTTCCTCTGCTCTCGAGTCACTCTCGATTCGCTTACTCAGTACCGATACATGGGCTCCTTGCTGCTCTTCGGAGGAGAAGTATAAAGGTCCTCGTCGTCTGAAACTTGGTAGTCAGGCTGCAGATTGTGTGTCGAATGATTCTCGGAAGCGACACCGGATCCAGTGGTGCCATGCGTTGACGAGCCATCCCGGTGGCTGGTCAATCCAAAGCCAGGATGGAAAGGCTCGTCCATGACGGCTGGATGACCATTGGAGCTGGCACCACCTGGTTGCGGGTCACTAAATGGATCTACCAGAGGCCCGGACTCCGGGGGAGGAGCCCTGCCGCGGCCCGGGTCCAGCTGCTTGCCACTGTTTGGCGGGGGATGGGACGGAGGGCTGTAAAGGTCGGTGTCTTTGCCCTTTCCGTTGCCAACTGAGACATTGACAGGGGGCGCGGGGCTGGATCTGGACGATGATGCGGCGGCGTTGGGGACCTGCCATCCCTGAACACCATTGGAGCCGTGAAGTGATTGCTGCTCGGGGGCGGGTGATGGGTTCTCGGATCGCTCGTTGAGACCCAGCTGTTTTCGGGCGCTAAGTATGGCACGTTGGTGCTGGCTAAGCGCAGTCTGCAGCTGCTCGTTGGTGTCAATGAGGCTCTCCATGGTATCGTTGTCTGGCGCGGGATCAGTCGACACCATGTAGCCTTGGATGCTCCTTGAAGCACTCAGGCATCGGTTTGAAAACTCCCTGATGAGCTCGTTCTCAAGCAACTCCACCGCCGGCGTGTTGATGACAAGCTGTTCCAGTAGTTTTGCGGAGGACCGCGCCTCTTCCAGCCGACTGGTCAGCTCGATGGGTTCGGGCAGCCGGTGGTTGCTGTGATGCCTGGAGAAGTAGTTTTGGGAATATCCGTTATCAGGCGCCGCTGATTGCGGAGGGCGTTGGGGTAGTGTAGGTGCTCGCCCCTATTCATCGTGTTAGCTAGCCGTCCCTTTTGGAATCATAGATGCCTGTCTGTCACATACTCCATGCTGCTTGATCGCCTTTTCCTTCTCCTCCTGCCACAGCGTGATAATCAGGGTCAAGTTCTCGTCGTAAAACTTGGTGCGTTCAAAGTCGTCCAGCGTATCCATGAGAATCTGGCGCACACTGCTGTCCTTGGTTCCCTTGAGCAACGCCCGAGTCGTGTCTACAAACTTGGTGTCGAGGTTCCTCGTAAACGTCTCGCCCGGGTTGTCGGCCAGTATCCGCATCAGCATGATGGCATTGTACTGCCATGACGGCCGCGAGGAATACTCCTTGGACATGTATTTCCTGATGATGCGGGCGCATTCGGCAGCGGCGGTGGGCGAAGACTCGGCGGCATCGACAATCGGGGGGAGGAAAAGCACTTCGTCGCTCTGTTTCGACAACGGCAAGCAAGCGTCGGTTAGCGGACATGTTTAGGAGAGACTCGAAGGGGTTTGTTGGGGTTACGTACCTTTGCGGTTCCGCCAGATTCGCAAAATGCTTTCTGGAAAGGTTCGGTCAGTCCAAAGGCGTGCGCCAAACCCAACAAGCCGTTGCGCCGTAGAGACGAGACAGCAACAGGCCGAGCAGAAACATACCACGCTGTTATGGGCCGTCACTTCGGGAGTGTCCCCCGGTGTCGTGGCAGCCGAACGATCTGTGCTACCTGTCGATCACGAAAGAAGGCATCGTTAGCATTTTGCACAGGAAAACGTGCAGAGGATATCGCATCATGCATAGCCTAGGCGCCCATCGTGAAACATGTGCCCAGATGCCGGCTCAAGAGGGAAGGGAGGGAGGGGGGAAGCTCATACTTGTCTTTTTCCTGATGCTCCCCAGCATCTTATTCATGGAAAGGCCCTTCATGGATTTCATCTTGAGCGAAATTATGTCTCCTCGGCTCGGGCGTCGCTGGTAGAAAATCGCGAAGGACGGATGATGGGAAGCGCGTTGGGCACTTTTTGCGGGGCACGATGGAGGACGGACAAAGAGGAATCGGAATCAAGAGCGGGATATTGCCAGCGTCATTCGGTTCGAGGCGGGAGATTCGTCGAGCTTGATAGAGGAAGAGGGAGGGGAGGGGAGACGGAAAGAAAGAAAGAAAACCCACGACGAGCTGCAGGATTGGAGGGAGTTGAGAGGTTGAGAGTATTGGGAGGTTTGAGAGGGGAGAGGCGAGGTTTGTTGGTGGTTGCAGTATTGGAGCTTTTTGGGCTGGGGGTTGCAAGTTCTGTCTGTAACAACCTAAAGCTGCGACTATGTCAATGCTGCCTCGATACTGCGCCAGAAGCCTCGGAGATTACCACAATGGACTAGGTAGGTACAGTACCAAGGTTAATGTTCTTTATAAGATGATGCGTCTACCTTGCCTACCTAAGTAGCAGGTACTGTGAGATTTGCGCGTATCTTGTTCTCTTTTTATTTCAAATCTCGTCTCGTTATTGTTTGCCAACTGCGCTGCGAGAAGCCGGTCCTCAATTTGTTTGTCGGCCTCGTCAATCCTCTTCGGCTTTAATCCCGTCGCTGCCTGGTCTCTTTTTCTCTTCTCCAACAAGCCCAACCATGAGCAGATGCGACTTTGCCATGGTTTCTGGTCCCGCGAAAATTGGGGTCGAGTATCTGGTACATGCATTAGCCGCTGCATTTTCCCACTAAATCGAGCCGAGCAAGGGGTCCAAGGGCTTTGGTGCGATACCTGGCGCGGTACCGAGACATGCAGTGGCCAGCGCCCATTGCTCCAAAGTACTCCGCGGGCTCCGTTGAGGTACCTTGATTGCTTGATTGCTTGAGGCAGTCTGGGGTTGCGCGACGAGTTAGTATGAATGCAGTAATAACGGCAACGGATGCGGTTTGCTAGGAGGTGCAGTGTGTACTTGCTCAGCAAATCGACAAAGTGCGTAATGGAAAGCGGCGCAGCTTGATCTACAGAGCGTTAGCAGGTACTTGGCAGCACTAGAACCCCATTCCAAGTACCGGGCACTCTGATTCCAAGGGTCTTTTTTTTATACAATGGAATCATTGTCCAACAGGTACTAATCTATGATATATTACTCATAGATCCTATAGTACTTTGATATGCTAGCTGCAATACATCTGAACACTCAAGACGATACCTATTTTTACTCGTAGTTTTATAAAACAAAACCCACATGCCAAATTAACTTCTAAAACACATTCAAACGGTTAATCGAAAGCCTCTTATTATTAGTGGCATGAGCTGGTGTGCTGTGCGAATGTCACTGTGGCAGCTCGCTAATAAACGTTGGTGCTGTGGATTTCGGCTTTACCGTGGAGAGACATGCTACATCAACTTGCACAAGCTTAACAGCAATAAGGATTGTGGAGGAGGCAAAGCCGTCGAAACCATCAAACACTTGCTTGACCCTTCGCTGGTCAGCTCTACTACACCCCATTGGGCAGAAGCAGGACTAACAACCGCCATGAGTGGCCAGCAAACCCGTTCCCGCTGCTTCCATGTTATCTCACTCGTCCTTCAACTTTGGCTCTGATCTCTGGTCTCTCTTCTTGGGAGGCCGCCATGTGTCGGCTCGACCAAGTTTTTTGTTTGCACAGCCTCAAGCTCTACGTAATCCTTCGTGGTTTGCTCACGGCATTGTGCAGATGGTTGCAAGATGGATATGCTCACATGTTCCAAGATGCCGAGAACGGGGTCACGGCGGCAAACAAATCTGAATAGTTTCGGTTTGTTTCCGACCCCCATAGAGCCTCACGTGTGCTAGCCCTCGTCTCCAACTCTCCTTTCTACCCTTTTGCTTTGTAATTCCAGGGCACACATCTGGATCTCCTTGACCATACTGTAGATGGGAGAAAAGGTGGTTGAGGTGCTTCGTCAGTACCCCATCCGCCAGCTGCCGTCAGCAAAGCCGTTCTACGTAAGCATCTCGGCTTTGCAACGCACGTGAACCACAAGTCAAGCTATTGCAATGTATCATACGCAAGAGAGACGAGTCATGTTGGATCAATTTTCCTTTTATTTTTCATTGTTTTTTTTATATTTGAAGAGAAAACTTACGTGGTGTAAACCTACGTGGTGTCCCATCAGTATTGTCAGGTGTCTATCATGCTCCTTCATTCGTCATCCTCGTCATCGTCATCAGATAGGTCTTCCACAATGAGATTGCCAGACTTGCCAATCGTCTCCAGCATCGTCGCAGTTTTGCTTGGCTCGTACACCACACGCGGAATGGTCGAAGCTATCCGGAACTCGTACTTGTGCTCGTAGCCTTCGGGCTCGTCTACCTCGTCCTCCTCCAGAGTTTCGCCGCGCAGAATGTCCTGGCAGTCAACAAATGCGTATAGCTCTTCGACAGCGGCGTCGTGGGGGAACCGCCGAACGATTCTTTCTCCTCCCAAATCTTCAGGCATCTTGAGTGCCACCCGAACAGCCTTTCTGTCGGTCGCGGGAGGCTCGGGTAGGATCCTCGGGGCTCTCCATGATTTCCACTGTCGTCGTTTCTCAGCCAGGACAGCAGCAGCCTCGGCCTCTTCCAGAGCTCGCTTCTCCGCCGCCGCCGCGGCAGCGGCAGCCTCTTTCTTCTCTCGCGCGCGCTCTCTATCAATGGCCAGTGATCGTTCGTAAGCCGAATCTTGTTGATCGCGCAGGCTACGAGCCAGCTCCTGTGAAGCCCTTTCAGCTCGCACCCTATTCAGGTCGGAGCCGTATTTTTCCATGGCGGCTTGCAGTTCTGACAAGTAAGTCGAAGGAGGCATTGGGCCCACCAATCTTTTGACAATACCCATTCGAGTGCTGCCTTCCTTTGGTGTCAAGCACACGAGGGCTGAAAAGGGATATTTCGTGCAAGCATATTCAGTGGCTGCCTGGTATGCCTCTGAATCGAGAATGTTGCCTCCCCACAGTATCATGTTATTGGCCGGGTCATTGAGGAATTCAACAACCTCCGGGGCCAGCAGTGTGTTCTTGATGAATGATTCGGTGTCGTCGTGCTCGGGAGACATGAACAAGACGAGGAGGAATTTAAGGTCCTTTTTGGCCAGGTCGTGTGCCTGGGCTATGCCGCCCTCAAAGAATGAGAGGCTATTCGATCCGTATTCTTCGTCAAACTCTCGTCTGAATCTAGCTGCCGCATCCCGGGGCATCAGCATCCGTCGACCGCTTGGGCTTCGGAAGCCCGTGGCAATTCCAGCTGTAACAGTTCGCGGCCGTATGGAAGCAGGTAAGAACGCTAGGATGTATCCAATCGTGCGGAGGAGGGTCGACGCAACCCGCCAGCCCCAACTGAACGGCGTGAGCAGGAGGCCCAGAAACCACGGTGTCCGATGGATCACGGGCGGCGAGGGCACAACCCGGGGAGCGGCGTCGGTTCGGTTTCGCCGGCTCGCCGCAGATGATCGGTCCGGTGCCACCAAGAAGCTCTCCTGAAGATTCTCGTGGCGTGCGGTCGAGCGCGGAGCTTCCTGAGCTGCCATTGCTTCGGCAACTGGGTCGGCGGTCTCGCCGTCGAAGAATTTAGAAATGGCGATCTAGGCATGGTCAGTAAAGGCTAACAACGACGCACGACATTTGCCAGCATTGGAGGGGGGGAAAGAGGTCAAGAAGGGGGGTCCCAGAAATTAGCAATGAAATATGTCATCTTACCTGCACATTCCATTGCGATCTTGTCAGTAGCGGGATGGCATCTTTTGCCTCTTGGTTTGTCAACTGCATATACTGCTGCAAGGCATCTTGCTGGCTTGGTGACAGCTGTCCCGTATCCTCGGCGTTGTCGGCCATCTTTGGCGGGAAAACGACAGGAGCCGGAACCGGAAGGATGAGGAATGGGATCAAGATGCCTGAGTGCCGTCCATGTGACCACGTTGTTCCTCTTGAACGGTTGACCACGGATGGCTGGTGATTGTGTTGCGTTTGGAGCTTGACGTCGATAAGGAATCTTGGAGCTGTCGTCGCAGTGTCATAATAGCGGGCTCCAGTCGGCTTATCAAGGTGGTGCCTGCGTCAAAAGCAGCAGCATTACCTCATCGCTATAGCGGAGCCCAACAGCCTAAAGCTCTCCCGAGCCTCTAAATTGATCGATAAGCACGTTGGCGCTTGTGTGAGAAAGGCTTCCATTTTATAATCTCCGTGGCTGAATAATAAGTTTTTACATTAATCGGCAGAAAAATTAGATTCTGCAAGTATCAGCAATACACCTTGCGTCAACCTTGCCTGGTTGCTAGGTTGTTCTGGAGTCAACCGCAACCAAGAGTGTGGAAGTACCTAGTACTGAATCATGTGCAAGACAAGCCAATACCTTACAGTACTAAAGTATTGCGCCGCTATTAAAAGGCACCTAGTAGTACCGTAGCACCCGTGGTAAGGAATTCGATCCTACAAGACTCCGGTACCGGCAAATGTATTATATGCGTCACTTGAGATTTGCACTTTATATTCATCGCACCCGTTTATTTATAATTTGGCGACCCTGATATTTATGTGTTGAAAAGTAAATTGGCCGCCCAGTTCTCCAGTCTTCTTTTACCTTGACAAGGCGTTGACTCAATTTTTGTCATCCAATACACCAGGCCACCTACCTACCTCCTACCCTGTAGCTTGACACACGATATCATGGCAACACAACCTACCGCCTCGTCCGTTCTTGTTCGCCAGGCCTCTTCCTCGTTAGATCTCGCAGCGGTAGTCGAATGCTTTAAAGAGTACACTGCATGGCTTGACGAAGATTTGACTCACCAGAATTACACTGCCGAGCTAAACGGGCTGCCCGGAAAATATGCAGCGCCCACCGGGGCCCTTCTCCTCGCCGTGGATGCCACAACAGACACGGTTCTCGGCTGCATTGCTCTGAGGCCTATAGGCTTTGAGTCTGTCTATCTTGAATCGCGACCTGCAGGGCTACGCTACTGCGAACTCAAACGACTTTTTGTGTATCCGGAGGCCCGTGGGAGACAAGTAGCCAGGACTTTGCTAGTAGAGGCAGTGAGATGTGCCCAAGCCGCGGGCTATGACGAGATGCTGCTCGACACACTGTCAAAGATGACTGCCGCCATCAGCCTGTACAAGTCTGAAGGATTTGCGGAAACAGAGCCGTATAATTCGAGTCCGTTGAATGGCACTCTGTATTTTTCAAAGCCGTTATCAAGGGTAGAGCGAGATTCTTAGTGCCTGTATTATAGATGCCACATACCTTCTAATCCTTAGGTACCTTGGAAGTTATTCAGTCTCAACTCTCTGTCCGCCTCTTATTGTGAATTCTCATTGGATGGACTGCCATCGCCCAGGTATTGTACGCTCTGTGGTAGACTCAGGTACATGCACAGTACTAAGGTAGTACCGCCTTGGGCTCCTATCTCGGCTCAACGTCGGCTAGCACCCGCATCTGGCTTCCACCATAGTCTCGAGATGGGCGGCGTCTCCCCACTCCTCCAAAGACACCAACCCGATCAGCGGCGACGAGGCGCGGCTGCTCGTCACCAACTCTCGTGCTCATACTTTTTTGCCTTGGCCGGGCTCGAGCCTGTCTTCTTCTTCGTCCATGGGCGCGACGCCGCCCCTATCAATTGAGCCATGGGAGACGATTGTTGCCATCCAGTATGTTGATAAACAACCAAACCCAAGCCACCACAAGTCGTGCTTCCTCTCCTCCTTGTCCCGTCTCCGTCTCCGTCCCCTCGTCCTTGCTCTTCCTTGCTCTTCCTTGCTCCTCCTTCACCGTCATCTGGCTCTGCCGTCTCTGTTTCTTCCTCTCCTGCAACTCGACTAACCACATCTGATTCCGTCGCCGACCTGTGCTTGCTCTTCCTTGCCGTGCTCTTTCCGACGCCCAAATCATAAGCTGATCCCGCCTCCAGAAGTCGTAGATCCGGCCTAGGGGACGGCACTCTTTTCGAGAAACACAATTGACCACCATGGCGACGTCGCGATATCAAACTGCCGAGATGCGGCGCCAGGTCGGCTCCCCAAGGCCCAAAACACGAGGTGGGTTTCAGCAGCATATCATGAACCGATTCCCAGACCAGACCAGACCAGGCTGACCGTGAACAGAAAACAAGGAGACGCTCTGCAGAAATGTTCTCATCTACGGCCATTGTCGCTATGAGGACCAAGGGTGTTCCTTTTCGCACGACCAAACCAAGGGGAATTCGCCCCAGCAAGACAAGTAGGTGTTGATCTGATTCCCCATCCCATATACCAGATAGAAGAGCAACGAGACCGGCTTCTTCCCTCCCATCTCCGCCGATGCTATACACACACGCGCACACATGCTCCCCCGGTTCCTGGCTCATATTACACGGCTGTCGCTGACCCTGCTACTCGTTATAGCTCGAAAAAAGCGCTCAACGTCGAGTCGCCATCCTTTACGCCCTCACTCCTACAACCTATCAATAAGAAGCCTACATTTTCCTCACAAGCTGTCACCGCCCCATCCTTCACTCCGCGTGGCCTAGGTGGTAAGTTCGAACCATTGCCAATTCCAAGACTTGATTTCTTGGGTGCTAACTGCATCTGATTTGTAGCCGCCACGCCATCTACTTTACCAGATACCGAGGCGCCCATGTTTAACCCAGCTTCCATACGGGAATTCACGCCCAGCTTCGATCTCAGCTCTTCCTCTGTACGATCTCCTCTCCTAGATCACCCTACTCCTCCTCACCCATCTCCTCCCCCCCTTGTCCCCGCAGGACCTCATCTGATCCCGATTCCAATTCCGATTTCAATCCCACTAACGAGGGTGGCGAAGGCTGTATCAACAAATGGGACCTCGCAAGATGGAGCCGTCACATACGATCCATTTGGGATGCAAAGCCAAAACATGGCCACGACGCCATTCAACCCCTATGCTGAAGAACATAATGCCATGGCTGGAGCTCAGTCTACATACTTTCAACCCCAAAACGCTTTTGCTGCCCCATTACAACCATTGCAACATCATCTTTACGCCCCAATCGGGCCATACCGAGAAGATCTGATGCCATACCATCGCCTCAGCCACGAGTTCTTCCTACCGGAGAAGCTGAGGGAGGAAATGCAGAAGAAGTCGGAAGCGGCCCTTCAAATAATGCCTAATTCCCAGCTGCCACAGCTGGAGAACTACCACTCCTTGGTCGCTCTAGATACGACCCATCGCAAAAACGCAAACATATTTGGATACCCCAGCTGGGTGTACAAAGCCACCTCGTCCAAGAATGGCAATCTTTATTGTCTGCGGAGACTGGAAGGCTTTCGACTGACCAATGAGCATGCCATTCGATCCGTAAAGGAGTGGAAGCGGATTGACAATGCCAACGTTGTCAGCATCCACGATGCCTTCACTACAAGGGCTTTCGGAGACAGTTCCCTCATCTTTGTGCAGGACTACCACCCGCTATCCAAGACGCTGGCCGAGGCACATCTCACGCCAACGGTGGCGGCAGGCGGCCGATTCCAGCCAAAGCCGCCCATTACCGAACAGGTTCTCTGGGGGTACATTTCCCAGATTGCCACGGCCCTCAAGTCGATACATGACAACAACCTAGCAGCGCGCTGTGTGGACGTTAGCAAGATTATCTTGACGGATAAGAACCGAATTCGCCTCAACGCGTGTTCCGTACTGGATGTAGTTCACTTTGACGTTAGACGGCCTGTCCAAGAACTGCAACAAGAAGACTTGCTGCATTTCGGCCGTACTTTACTTTGCCTTGCCACCGGCACCCTCCCCTTGCAGCTCACCAACCTGAATGCGGCCATGGAGCAGATGAGCAGGACATATTCTGCAGAAATGAGGGATACCATTACGTGGTTGCTGACGCCAACCCCGGCCCCGGCACACAAGTCGATTGACGAGTTCATTCAAGGGATAGCGACCCATATTGTAGCGGCCTTTGACCAGAGCCAGCACAGGGCGGATGCTCTCAACTCTGAGCTATTTCGTGAACTAGAAAACGGAAGAATCGCCAGGCTCATGATGAAGCTCGGCACCGTCAATGAGCGACAAGAGTTTGAAGGCGACCGAGCCTGGTCGGAAAACGGAGAGCGATACATGCTGAAGCTCTTCAGAGACTACGTCTTCCACCAGGTGGACAGCAACGGAAACCCCGTCATGGACATTGGACACATGATACGCTGCCTCAACAAGCTCGATGCCGGCGTTGACGAGAGAATCTGCCTGACCAGCAGAGATGAACAGACCAGCTTTGTTGTCAGCTACAAGGAGCTCAAGAAGCAACTGGTCAATGCCTTCAACGAGTTGATAAAGGCGGCCAAGCCGAGTAGGAACTTTTAGGAGATGGAGCCCAGCCGCGGCGCATAAGAGAAGAGACGGACAGGGGGGTTGATGCGAGCAAACCATTGACGGTGTCCGGCGGGGAGCCCTGCTGCTACGATGAGCTGAACCAAGACCAAAGACAAGGCCAGGACGCGGCTGCTCTGCGAGAGACCATGGCAAACGAGTCGATGAGAATTTGCGACAGAAAAAGAAATGGATTACAACAATGTTGCAAAGCAGCTTTTGCTGACGCTGAAGGATTCTGAAACGTTATGTTTTTCCTGGATAATGTGAGAAAGGATGGGCGGCTGGATAGACGAAAGAAATACAAGAGTGCAAGACGCAAGATGCAAGATGCAAGATGCAAGATGAAGGGGAATATGGAGGACAGAGGGAGAGAAGAACCGGAGAGGGCTTGTCCACAGATACATAACACCAAAAAAAGCTATATACTTACTGTCAATCAATTTACACTTACTATGCACAATACGCTGCACCTCGTTACACGGAGGCTCGAGGCAGGGACACACAGGGGGTGGATATCAGTTGGCAGCGGTCAGCTTATATGTGCGGTACTGCTCATATCCTAGGAGAACTAATCGAGTCGTAAGATGAAGAAGCCGCACAGATGCTGACCCCTCCCATAGTCGTATCGAGATGTGCCAAACATGTCATGGTTTCCCCTTTGCTCAGGTTGCCATATTCTCTCGAAGCCTCGAAAAGGTGCCTCCAGCCCGAGACTATCGTAATCTCAGTTCCATATAGGTACTGATGTACACGTCTCTCCCCTGCGTTCCCTCTCCTCTGGCGATGGGGAGTCCTTGCCCCATATCCGAATTCTATCACCAGCCAGCCCAGTCGTATGCGCCATAGCGATTGCTGTCTCCCAAGTTTATGTTTTGTTTTTTCCCATCTTCGCGCGGACGGGGTATCTAATAGAAGCCGACCCTCTTTTTGATATTGTGACTTGTGTATTTTTTCTCCCCCTTCATTCATGTCGGTTTTTTTTCTTGCCCAGTCGTCGTTTTCAAAAGTTGCATATCGCTGTTTTTGTTCTTCATCCTCCTTTTGCTCTTTTGACGGCGGCGGGGCCATTCTAGTTCCTTTTTCTTCTTCTTCTTAATCCTCTTCGGGCTGAGCAAAGGGATTGGCGATTTCTTCGCTGCCGTCAGCGGGGCTGATGAGGACGAGGAGTGTGCCGCGGACGACGACGAGGCCAAGGGGCCGGGATGACTCGTTGCCTTCTTCGTCTGTTGGAGAGCGGTTGGGTTAGTTACAAAGCTATGGTCAAGAAGAATGGCAGCAAGTTGTTGCTCCGTGGTGAACAACTGTTGCAAGGATGGGCCAGGCAGAATTACTGACCTCGGAGGGTTTCCTGCACTTCGTCAAGGACGAGGTTCATGAGGGCATCGTAGCCTTTGAGAGTACCACGGACTGTTTGATTCATTGACACAAAAAGTCAGCCAGCCGGTCCACCTGACTTGAGTCCATTCCGTCGCGCTTCTTCTTCTTCTTCTTCTTCTTTACCTTCGCGGCCGCCGTTGAATTTGACGGTAATCTCCTTATCTATGTACTTGGCCAGGTCCAAAATGTTCTCCTTCTTGGGCCTCTCGCCCTGGGCGGCGGAAGCGCCTCCACGGCCACCACCGGCTGCTCCTCCGCGGCCTCGATAGTTGCCTCGGTCACCGCCGCGGCCGCCTCTGTGCGAAGGTCTATCGGACATGATGGCTGCTGCGCATTGGCTTGCCTGCTCGTGTGCGTTGTTTTTTTTTTTTTTGCCGGGGGCGACAGGGGGGGAAACGGATTGGTCGAGCTTTTTGCTAGAGGTACGAGTATGAAGCTTGCGGTGCGTTTGATGCTACATGATGGCTGGGATTTTGGCAAAGGCAGAGGTGGGGAGCGAGGGGGCGGAGGGGCAGTGCCCGATTGGGACTAGGCGGGACAGGCCGCTAACTGAAGCTGTTTTTTATTCAATTCCATTCCATTAAACACAGTACAGCACAACACCAAAGGATGCAGTTTCGATGAGAAATCTGTTTCGACACATGGAAATGTTTACCCTTGTCTGCTTGTTCTTTCTTGGCAACAAAAGGCCATCTGGCTACTGGTACCTACCTAGTAGTAGTCACGGGCGGAGCTGTGTGTACATGTTACAAGGCACTTATACGGACAGCTCCATGTCCATCCCTAACCTTACCTAGGTAGTCCTCGGTCGATTATAAGCATCGCAGAGACATGAAGCAGCTCACGTCAAGGATTAGTATATCCCGGGTGCCCGCTCAACTTACTACATACTTGTAGTTACTGCACCGGGCATTCCACTTTGGTTCGGCCGGGCCTGTTCCATTTCTGCTCCTCTGTGCTTCTGAGGTGCAAGCCGGTCGAAACACGTAGCATCGGCTAGGTATTATTAGCAGTCGCCTACAGTAGGTGAAGCACGAGCGATGCAAGGAGCGGCAATAGGAAGTTGCTCAATTAACTCTGCATTGAAAGCAGTCATAGGTGCCGCCAGCTACCCTGGCCAGTGTATGGATGCCTGTACGTACTGACATGGAATCGGGCGGCAAACCAGGTTCTCCGAGGAGCCTGGTTGACTGACAAGGAGCGATAACCAATGATTGATGAAAAATCTCTCTCGTCGGTAAACCATGGGTTGTCGCATTAGAGTAGGGGTGGTGGCTATCTTCCGATAAAGTTGTTGCAGAAAAGCTTCCGGACGACCAGCATCTTGCTCCAACCCAGTCAGTACCTAGTTCCGTTCCACGTCGGCTGTGCATGCTCTCTCATCGTTGCTTGACCTACTACCTAGTACCTACTTGCACATCTACTCGTACATGGGACCTCAGTCTGTCCGTCACCCACTCAGAGTGGAAGTGGTACGTGTGCGTGTGCGTATGTGTGTGTGTGCGTGTGTGTGCGCCGTAAACGGACGTCGGAGTAATCCGAGTAGGTACTGCTGTGAGGACTGGACTCGTCCCGTAACTTGGAGTATGATTACCAAATGACTGATGTAAGAACCTCCATGATGGAATGGCATGTGGGAGAACTTGCCGGTTGCTACCTCGTGGTGTTGTGGCGTGATTCAGAGTCGAGCTTCTGCAGCTAGGCCATCCGGGATATGCTGAGATGTGTGTGGCCAGCTCCTACAGTGTATTATAGTACCTATAGGTAGTAGTACTCGTACTCGTAGGAATCGCTGGCCGTCAACGGCATCAGAGCACATAGCTGGGTGACATATGGATCAAGTTAGCACGAGTGACAAAGCAAGTCGACAAAATAAACCACCTGGGCATCCATGATGAGATCCTTGTACTCGCACAGCACAGTAAAGCTACTCCAGATGACTGCCCGGCTAGAGATGTATGAGTAGGTTAGTACCTAGTACTGTCGCATTACTGCAGCATCTACTCCATCTGGTTACCGCCCAGAGCAGGTTATTACCTGGTATTACAGGTAAGGTCAGAGGCAGTAGGTAATACTTCACATCACAACCTCCAGAAGTACCTGAGTACCTACCTAAGGTTAGTACCTCCAAGACATGCGGCAAGTTGCCGCTTTCTCCCCCTGCTGAGACATTCAGCCAAAGCCAATTCCAAGGGACCGAAAGAGAGCAAGTAAAAGGGGGTTTCCTTTCCTTTCCATTCCGCCCTCCTCCATCCCATCCATCCCCATTCCTTGCTAAGCCGCAGCTTACGCCAGAGTGTCGGTTGACAACCTGGAAGCTGCAGAAGCCGCGGCCGCACAACCTTCCTTCTCCGTCAGAGCCGCATCCCGGCCTGGGTGCAGTACCTGGTATCTACGTGTACATGTGTGTACTCCGTACTGGGTACATTAGCACTACCTAGAAATGTACTACTAGGTATACCTAGGCTGGGAAGTTACCAGGCAAGGCACGTCTTGGAAGGCAAGAACGAGCACAGGACAACAATGGAAAGCTTGGACCAGTGGATGTATTTAGGCCTGAACATGTAGCCTACGGGGTACGAGTATGTACCTCTTGTACTCCGTAGAACTGGACTCAACTGAACTTGTGCCACTGGCTGCATCATCATCCACCGTAGTCGTGCAGTTGTCGAATTCAACAGGCAAATCACACGTCTGCCATTTGTCCGCCGTCGTTCCTCGCCTGCATTTACCGTCTCCATCTCCATCCTCTACGGAGCAGATTACCAAAAACCCCCCTCTCTGGCAGCAAAGTGCTCGTAAGTACATACGGGTATCGAGTCGGCCCATGGATTCCGGTTTCCTCTCTCTCCTCTCCATGCTCACAAGCGAGCCTTCGGAATTCCCTCTGCTGCAGCGGTGCGGAACCCAACGATCTGCGGAGTACAAGTGGCGGACCAGATTGGGCGACGAGAATCCAGCGATACGGCTGGCATCCGAGCAAGATGGAGAGGGCGTGTGCGAGAGAGAGAGCGTCTTTCGAGGGGATTCCAGGCCAGGCGAGGAGGAGAAGAGGAACAAGAAGACGGAGAGGGGGAGAGGAGGGGAGGGGGGGGGGTACGAATCCGCTGTGGTGAACCCCGGGAGACGGCTTGGAGCCTCTCCAACAACAAGGGCTGGATGAAAGAAAAGCGGCAGATGGTCGACTGAGCCGGGAGAGATGCTGAGACCGGGATGGAGTCGACATGCAGCCGGTTCGCTGGCTATCGGCAGTGCAGCGGCCAATCGACATCTGTCCGCGTTGGGCTCTTGACTTGGGCTCCCTGTCTGCTCACTCACTCGACTTGACACGCGATTTGCTTGCTTCTGATGCATGGCAATTGCACCAGTGGGCAGATATGCATACACCACCACGGCGCGCATCGCATTGCATTGCCAGTCAACTATTACGAGTTCTTGCACCGGACGGCCTATTGTACGAGGACTGGGAGGGCATATCATATGTGGGCATGCTGACGACGCGGAATAGACTACCAACCGGCTGCTGCTCGTATGGTATGGAGTGTCCCGTTCTTTTTTTTTTGCATTCACGGACGACCATGGGATGGTGTCTCTTCGGGCGTTTTGCCAGTTGTCGGCCTCCAACTCGGCCCTCGACATGTTTGTTACACGAGGATCAACAAAGGTCCTATGGCTGCCTAGGCGAAGCTGCCCGCTGCTGCCACACGGCCGTCGCCTCCTTGCCATTGCATTGCATACGGTAATAGGCGATGCCAACGACAAAAACACACGCACACGTCACAATCAAACACACCTTGACTCTCACTCACACGCACATACACACACCTTGGCTTTGGGTCGCAATAGCTTCGACTCAGACTCAGGTCTGGTCTCTGGTCTGCACTAGTCGCGTGCTTGTACCAACCAAATGCAATGCTCGTACATTAGCACTTGGTCGTCGTCAACTGCGGGCCTGGCCGTGCTTGACCTGGCTTGACCTGGCTCGACCTGAACCTGAGCTACTAGCTAGTCTCACGACTAGCACGCCGAGCTGTCCTGGGTACTAGTATTTGGTTTCAATCTCTGCTGCTGCTGCCGTTAGCTTGAGTTGAGGGTCTCGCTGACTTGCAGGCAGGGAACAGGATGGATTGCCGCAACGCGCCCACTTTGCGGAAATCTACTGGAACTCTGGGGGCACAGCAGGGCCGCCCGGTCCGCTTGGCGATCATTTCTCGCCATGCTCTAGCCGGCACTTAACGTTAAGGCTTTGGGTTACCTTGGCCGTCCGGACCTCGAATCGATGGCGGAGCAGCAGTTGCTCCGTCCGTTCCATGGCTGCTTGGGTACGAGCACATGCTGCGAGCAAACAAGAACTCGACCGCTGGTTGGTGGCGTTTGGCGTCGCCATGGTCCAGCGCCGCCTACGGAGCTGCTACCAGGTATCTACAAGGAAGCGAATATGTGACAAGTTGCGCGCAATGCACCCCCTATTACAGTCCCTATGCCTTGGCGTATGCAACGGAGCGTGAGAAGCCCGGCCGGTGCTTGGTTCGTTTCTTACACATGATTTCTTCCAGGCACCAGACACACACACACACACACACACACACACACACACACCACCAGCTAAAAGAAGGAGAGAAATCAAAGGGCAAAATCAAAGAGAGGTAAAAAAAGAATCGAAAAAAAACAACAACAACAACGCCGAAGTACAAACAAGGAGGCAAGCGATGACACAATAAGCGAGTGTGCATCCGGTAAAACTTACTTGACAGCGGTGTTGTGCCAATGGCACTCGCTTGTCTTGGACACGGAACCAGGGCCCGGCCGCAGGGCTCAATCTCTCTCTGGTCTCGTCGCTGATTTGGGGTTTCCAACTGCGATGATACTTATGCCATTCGACCATTCGAGCACAAGCTCGAACCCATGCCTTTGTCTCTCATCTGTTCAGGCATTGTTCGTCGCTTGTCTCTGACCCCAGGGACCTCGACGGCTTGGGACGGCTTGGGTCTGCCCGTGCCTAAGCGCAACATCAATCGGCCAATGCCCAGGTCGCTCGCTTCTCGCTCTCAAGAATCGTTCGCCTCTCCATTAGCTTCATGCTGGATACTGACAAGCACCTCGACCTCCATCTTCGTCCGAGCTGCTGTCCTCTCCAATCGAAGCCCACCCCTGCTAGGCCCTGCCCAGACCCTGTCAATCGTGCTGCTACTCCGTACACCACGCCGCTGCCCTGCCGCGCCCTACTTTTTGCCATGTCTTGCCTTTTGCCATGCTCTAGCCATCGCGATGAGACAGGTCATTATCCCCCCCCCCCTTTCACCCCTTCCCCTCTCCTCTTCTTTCCGCCCGGGAAGTTTTTTTTATTTCTATTTTTTCCCCTTCATGGCCCTCCCGCCTCTCCGTTGCTGATTACGGAGGGTTCTTTCTTCCTTCTGACACCAAAGATGACCAGAAGTAGGGCCTTGCTGCCGCTCCATCCATCATCGTCTGAACGATGGCATCGGCATCACGAGTTTGATTAAACAGCCATCAAGGGCTGGCTTTCGGAACGCTTCCTTCCCCGCCCATCTTCTCTTGCTCTACTGTAATCTGCGTCAATGTCAATGCAAGTCGCTGTGCATCTTCTTGCCTCCCGTCTTCTTGTCTTGGCCAACCTGCAAGCCACATTGACCGTCTCCCTTGCTCGACATTGTTATCCTCTTTGTGGTTAATGCCACCCCCCTTGCTGCCGCCTGCTTGTACTTGGACCCTTTTGTCGAAACATACATGTACATGCTCGTACATGTTGCACTGCGTGCTTCACACTTGTACACCTCTTACCCAGGCACCTACTAGCATGGTATCCCGCTTGTACTCCATACAAGACGAGTTTACCGACCTGCAGACTGGTCTGTACTACCTAGATGATGCACACCCATAGCTAGCCACTACACGCACTTCAGGCCGACCTCTTCTTGTACGCACACATACTTGTGTATATGCCCGTGCTCGTATGTAAGGTGTACCTGTATAGTACAGACGATACACCGGGCATGTACGAATAATCCTTCCTGATGAAGCTATTCCTAGCTCGCGCATACTACCGCGACCGCTACCTCTGGCCCATTGTTCAAAAGCAACCCGTCCTGTTTCTTTCTTTCTTTCTCTCTTTCTTTTTTTTCTCAACGGACGCCCCCTCCCCTAGCTGCCGCCCGTCGATAGACCCACAGTCATCTGGACGAGCGGGCAATCCCATCCGACAAGCTGCTGCCAGGCCGCATATGATGGCCTTGGACCTTGTCAAGGATTTCTTCCCTTTTCCTTTCCTACAATAACCCAGACAATTCCGCCCTCCCCCCCTCTCGATTTGCTCATCCCATTCTTGTTTGATCCATTGGCCGTACCAAGGCGCATACCGGCGTTTTGTTTTGAGGGCCCTTTCGTTCTGCCCCCCTTGGGTTTTCTTTACCCATCAACATCAACATCACCATCACCATCACCCCCTTGCACGACCACACGGCAATCACGCAGTTGTTCATTGGGCTTGTGCTTTTTGCCTGATTATTCTCTCCCTGCTTGTCTGTCGGCCTCTCTTTGCCCCAGATCTCCGCTCTCTCCGCCCATTCCGTAACCGCTCTCCGCCAAGGCCCGAGGCAGTGATAACCGCCATGGCACATGCTCCGGAGCACGAACCCCACAAACGGAAACGAGACCTTGGGGATGACGGCAGTTATCCCGCCCATCACCGCCAGGCCGGCTTTCACGAACCCGGCCGCATGCAGGCATCGCCCTCTCTGGCTTCAAGTATATTGTTGTCATTCCCCTTAATTGCCATTGCAATGCTAAGTGTAATTCAGTGGCCCCCGAGTCCATCGTCAACTTTGTGACAAGGCCCGACGCCCCGCTGCTGTCCTTTTTGCCAGGCGATGTCGATACCTTTAACGATATCATCTACCTCATGGGCGAGTATGAAGGTAGGTTTGCATGGCTCCTTGATGGCTTTGTAGAATGGTAAAGATGCAACGCTGATTTGATTGAATATGTAGGTGTTTTGGACCGGAAGGAAAGCATGGCAGCGAATCTCGGGGCCAAACTGACGGGTCCCCGGTTCCTCCGCGGCCTCGAAAGGTTCTTTGAAGGCCCAATCAAGATCATCTCGGCGAATATTTATCATCAAATCACCTGGCTGGAGATTGTCACATTTGCCAAGACGAATCCAGAAGCCTTCACCGTGATTCCACAACCCAATGGTTCACGATGTTGTCGCTTCGTGTATAACGGAGTGCAGGCTGAGATTATAGAGGATGATTGGCGCCTGATATCTTCTGGAGCACTGGATAGGTTCCCGTTGGAACACACCTTTGAGGAAGACGAGGCGGCCGAGCTGGCGACGCTCGAGATTCTCGAGCGAAGAGCCTCGTACCTGCACAGAAAGGCGGACGAGCTCGCGGCCAGGGCTCGCGTTCTCCACCAGAGGCTTGAGCTCCGTACCCGTGATGTTGCCCGACGGCAGCAGTTCCTTGAAGTCGGGCCCAGTTCCAGCTCAGCCTCCGGCTCCGGTTCCAGCTCCGGTTCCAGCTCCAGCTTTCAGGCCATCAATCAGCCACCGCGCCCCGTCATTACCAATCCCAACGGCCAGCCGTACGATATCCATTCAGACCTTCTCCACCAGTTCACCATAGCCGCGATGCAAAACAGCCCGCCTCAGGGCCCGCCTCCGGGTTACCAGGCACAGCCCGGATCGCCCAACGGCGCCCCCGTTGCCGGCCATCAAGGCCATCAAGGCCATCAAGGCCCGCTGGCCCCGCCGGCTTTGGAAGCACCGCCGTACCACCCACCCCCGGCAAATGTCTATCCGACGATGGAGACGGCAGCCCCCGCTCCGGTCCCGGCTCCGGCCCCTGTTGCGGCGCCAGCCCAGGCTTCGGCCTCCAACTCGAGGTCGATTGCGACCATAGCACTCAGCCAAGTGGTGCTCCCCGGCGACCCCGCCTCGGAAGTGCACCGGCCCCTTGTGCTGCAAAAGACGGACACACTCAACAAGGGAGACATCATCTTTCCCCCTTGCGACCGATGCCGGCGCCTCCGTCTGCAATGTGTCAAGCACTTGACGGCCTGCCGGGGCTGCACCAAGAAGCACGCGAGGTGCAACTGGAGGAACGTCACGGACGACGAGGCCGCAGCTGTGAAGGAGGAGCTGACGGTGATATACAACGAAGCACAGAAGGCAGCCACTACGACCGCTGCGGCCGCATCAGCAAAGCGATCTGGAAAGGCACCAGCGTCGGCGCCGCCGCAGCCCGAGGCAGGGAGCAGCTCTCGGCCGGCCAGCGGCTCTGGGGCGGGTAATATGGACCAGGTCCACCACTGGCCCGTACCGGGCCCATCAGCAGGGCCGGCACCGATGATGGCACCGCCGCTGGCACCGGCTCCTGTTGCCGAGCTGCCGCGGAGGCTGCTGCCCACCACTCGGCTGACCAGGATCGAGCCAGCCCCTACCGTGCCCAGGAACCCTCCCCGGACGGGGCAGCTGGCGGCGATTTTGTCTCCTCCCGATTATGAGCCTCGGCCGTTTGGATCGCTACCGCCGCTAGCGCCACGATGAAGACGGCGGTGAAGAATGGGTACGGTTACGGCTTGATAGTAATACATACATACCTGGGTACGGTTAGGAATGAAACTAGTTTGCTGTGTATGGGATTTGATTCGAGGGGGAAAAGTTTGCCACCTTTTGACGGATTGGGATGGATATCGGGATGCGCATATGCTGGGATTATGAATGGGACTTGGGAAGAGAGAGGATCTTGGCGGGCCAATGAGAATATGACTATCCTTTGATGTTGATTTTTATTCTTTTATCAAGCTGTCTCAATCTAATAAAATCAACAAAATACCAATATCGGGCACGAGTTGATGAGATGTCTACTGTAACAAGTGACTTGGAGAATCTGCAGAGAAGTGCTCCCTACTGGTACGGGACAGATGGTGACGATACGTACCGTTTTAGGCCGGCCACTTGGGGTAACTTCGGCGCTCGCTTTAGCTGCAGGGCGCCACTTCGGCTCGTTGCTGAGCTAAAGAACAAAACAAAAAAAAAACATGACAGGATAAGAAGGTTAAAAAAAAAAAAAAGGCCGGAGCCGCAGAAAAAAGCCAAGAGGCAATAAACGCATCATTCTTCGGCTTTAGATTCACAGTTGCCTCATTTCTCATCTCCCCCTCTCATTCAACGAGCTTTTGCCCACAATCACCGCAAATCCTCGTCCTGCTCCTTCTCACTCTCTCTCACGATATCACTGCGGGCAAACAACTATTTCTACCGCTTCGCTGCTCTTTCTCACCCCCCCAGCCCGGTCAACTTTTGCCGCATCTTCAAATGACCCCCACCGCGGTAAATCGAGGTTGAAACCGATCGACTCCTTGTTGCGCATCGCCAATTCCGACTTTGCCTACCGAATCGGGGCTGCGACAAGAGAGGCAAGGCAAGGAACTGAATCGACGAACCACGTCCCCTTCACCGAAAGCAAAAAGAAGCAGTTTCCTGGCCATGGCGCAGCAGGGGCCTGCGGCTGTTGCTCCGTATCTGCCAGGGCGAGACGATGGGCGGCCGTTCCAGCACTCGCACGCTTCGGCTGAGCATGCGGCGCTGGTGCAGTCGAGAGAGACGGGCGATGTGCTGCCGGACGACAGTCCTAGAGGGCAGGTCAAGGCCTTGCCGTTTGCGAAGTCTTGGGTGCATTTCATGGCCGGAGGGTACGTTTGTCTGTTTGTCTGTTTCTCTTGCTTCTCCGTGGTTGATCGGGGGCTATGCAAGGATTCCATCTAACGTTGTGTGATTCCAGAGTTGGCGGCATGACGGCCGCGGCTGTCACGGCGCCGCTCGATGTCCTCAAGACGAGGCTACAGTCCGACTTTTACCAGGCGCAGATCCGCGCATCCAGAGAGGCGCAGGCGCAAGCTCTGCAGCGACTGAACCCGGTGCGCAGCGCAATGCACCACCTGTCGGAAACGCTGCAGATCCTGGGCTCGGTGTACAGGACCGAGGGGCCGCGCGCGCTGTTCAAGGGCCTGGGACCCAACCTGGTGGGCGTCATTCCCGCCAGGAGCATCAACTTTTACGTGTACGGCAACGGCAAGAGGCTCATGGCCGACTACTGGAACAAGGGCGAGGAGGCCCCGTGGGTGCACCTCCTGGCCGGCGTCACGGCGGGCGTGGCGACGAGCACCGCGACGAACCCGATCTGGATGGTCAAGACGAGGCTGCAGCTGGACAAGAACGTCTCGGAGCGCAGCGGCGGCGCGACGCAGAGGCTGTATCGCAACAGCTGGGACTGCGTCAAGCAGGTTGTGCGCGACGAGGGCGTCAGGGGCTTGTACAAGGGCATGAGCGCGAGCTACCTGGGCGTGGTCGAGTCGACGATGCAGTGGATGCTGTACGAGCAGCTCAAGGCCTATCTCGCCCGCAGAGAGTCTGCGATCCAGGCCAGCGGCAGACTAAAGAACTGGTGGGACAAGACGGTGGATGTCCTGGGCAACGGCGGAGCTGCTGGAGGTGCAAAGCTGGTTGCTGCCGTCATTGCCTATCCCCACGAGGTGAGTTTTGCCACGTTACAAGTTGAAGGAGAAGAAAGAATGCAGGCTAATCCTATCCTGCCAAGGTTGCGCGAACCCGTCTGCGACAGGCTCCCATGGGAGACGGCAAGCTCAAGTACACCGGTCTGGTACAGTGCTTCAAGCTCGTCTGGAAGGAGGAGGGCCTCATGGGCCTCTACGGCGGCTTGACACCTCACCTCATGCGAACGGTTCCTAGTGCGGCAATGATGTTTGCCATGTACGAGGTCATCTTGCGCTTCTTCCACACGCCGGCCTAAGGTCTGGTTGGGTTTACGAAAATGGCGAGGGCGAACGGGAATGTACGATATGAGACGCAGTCGAATCATCAAATCGAAAGAGGACACCGAGGGGACACAAACACACAAACGCACGCACATACCAGTCCCCCCTAAAAAAGCGGCAGATACTTGTCATTTGCACATATACTGTACATTATGCCTTACTTCAAAACGGGAAACAAGAGACGATAGAGGTGGTACAGCCCGGGTGGGAATCTGGGCTTCATTCAAGGCGTTTTGGGGGCAGGGAATAGGGGGGGGGGCTTCCATTTTACATGACCGAGGCATGAATGAATGTAAGGGAACAAACATTGAAGCCATGAGGTAAAAAAAAAAAGGAGAAAAGGAGAGGAAAAAAATCAAAGCAAGAGGAAAGAAACACTTCACTGGGAAATTGGAGGGATCAAGGGGGATGGACTCTACTCTTTGCGCTACCTCGAAATATTATACGGCGATGGTATTGATGCTGTGCTCTATTTATACCTACCCAAGGTACGACGTATCTAGGCGATGGCCATAGGCCTACCTAGTAGGTAGTTGTAGCAATTAGCGGCTCAAATCGCCAATGAGGTTATAAATTACAGCATCAGTCACTACACCTGTCTCTTATATTTACATCAATCACTGTATCCGTCTGTTCGTATTCGGAACTCTCACCGTCATTCGAGTTCGAGTTTGAAGCCGTCAAAAGGAACTGGCAGGAGCAGCCATGCCAGGGCTTAGTAAATCTGCGCCTCCCAATAATTTGACAAGACAACATCAACCTCCACATGGCTTCTTCTTCATCTTCTTCTTACAATCGATACAACTTCATACGCATTCATACCGACGTCCAGGACAAGTAAAGAATCACCATGCCGAAAGTTCCACGGCATCTCAGGCTCTTCTCTCAGCGCGGCATCTGCGCAGAAAACATCCAGACTACCCGGAGAGCAGTGGCTCGTACGTCTTTGCTCCTCGCCTCGCCTCTCCCCTTCTCCCCTCTCTTCTCTTGAGCTACCTTCAAGCTCGTCTTCGCTTCTTATTACAAGATGATCAGCCTAACCAGCCTCTTTCTCTTCTACACCTCCAACATGAGAGACGAGTCTCGGCAATCAGAGATCGTGGCGTTGCGACATGTTCGTTTCATGGGAGCGAGGCGGGGAGTTTGACAAGAGTCACTCCCGGACGCTGGCCCCTATAATCAGACTGACAACAGATTCCGACGGTATTAGCAGAGTTGAGAGGCTTCCCAGACATGCCCAATACTTGAGAGGAAACCACACGCATGCTGCATACATTGTTGGATCCGAAACCGATGGGGAACTCTCTGAAGGGTTGGAAGCAGAGATTGTGGTAAGTGCATCTTTCGCCCGCACTCCCCAATCAAACCACCATCTCATCTGTTTTTCTTTCCTCTTCTTAGGATGGTCATTTACGACTCAAACTCTCTCCCAACAGGCGGGCCCCCCAAATATGGAATACTCCTACTCCGCCTCTCTTGTCCCTATGCAACATCTCCCCTTATAAGCTTCCTGCTACCTGGTCACGCCTGTTTGCTGTTGAGACAGACAGCATTCGAGGCATAACCCTCTTCTACTGCCTAGGACGTGTAAAGAATAGCCCGGAATTACGGCCCTTGTTGCCGGACGATTTTCCCTTGGATAGCTATGAACCCCGTCGCATTACTAGAGATTGTTTCTTCAAGGCAAATTACTTCTCTTGGGCGCCGCTGGATGGCGTTGCGTCAGCTCTCGTCTTCCGCGACCAAGCCACGGGATGCTGCAGAGGCATCTTATTCCACTACCTAAACGGAAGATCCCGGGCTATTGGGGGATCTCGGCTTCATGTCGACCCTGCGCAGAGAGTGGCCGGGCCGGGCCTTCTCTGCATCCAGACAGAGTCTTGTCCCACATCTCGGGGTTTCGGCCTCCCAGTATGTAGAACGCGGGTGACATTCCAACATGATTCGCAACGTGAACCCGTGCGCGGTCACGAACATGAGCACGAGCAGCCTGTCGATGATGGATGGTCGGTTGATACGGAATGGACGTGTTACCCAATGGCGGGATACGCCAAGTTCTGGATAACGATGGCGGGATCATCAGTTATGGGTATCACGACAGAATCACACATGGAGACGGCAGCCCAAAACTAGACGCTTGACACCCCCCTTTGATATTTGTAAAAAAAAAAGAGAAGCTTTATGATAATAGCAGTAGAAACGACAGAAACGAACAATTGCCCCTCCCAAACAAAAGAAGCTGAGGCAGCCCCAGCCACAAACAAATTTCCCAATGATAGCCATGTTTGTCGTATCGCGCCGTTGAAAATGTTTTTGTTTTTCCCACGTCCAATGAGCAAAATGTTTTCAAAAGTCCAACCAAAAAAAAAAAAAAAACCCCTCCTCCTCCCGGTCCTCTCTCTCTGTCGTACAGAAAAGGAAAAGAAAAGGAAAAAGAAAAGAAAGGTTTGCTCCTGGTTCTCCAACTTTGATACTCCGTTATCCATGCCCATCGAGATCAGCGACCCGTCCCATTCATGCAAACATTAGAAAGAGAGAAAACACAGAGGCACACAACAAACACCACTCCCTGATGAAAAAAAAGAGAAAAGCAAGCAAGCAAAACGCACACACCAAAATGAAGCAACAGGGGGGGAAAAAACACAAATATCCCTTTGATGACCATGCAACGAATTGTGCCCATTGCCCATTGCCCATTTCGTCCGAGGAGCAAAGCAAGCTGAAACAACCCACCCATAAAGAGTATAGTTAACAACAATTCCGTTTGACAGACCGAAAAATAAAAGTGGTATGTAGCATTTGCATGCCGTGAACGCTTCTATGAAGACGCTGGGGGTTGTAAGAATGGCCGCAATAAAGCAGCAGGCCATCAACGGGATTGGTTACCCAAGAAGAGAAGGAGAGAAAAGAAAAAACGGACAGGGGGTAATGATAACATAGGGGACATGGTAATCTCAAACTTGAAGCCGTCGCAAAAGATGTTTTCCCCAATTTCCAATCCAAACACATAGCGCTGATGGGAAGAAAAGCAACCAAGTATTAAAAATAGCCGTCTCGCCTTTTTTTTTTTGCACCTTTTTTTCTTCACCAGTTTTTTTTCTTAGACCAAAACAAGAAGGGAACCAAAACAAGAGTACAAAAAAGTCTTTTTTGTAATCCATTTCCCAGACCGAAGCGAAATCAAAAAGAAAAAAGGAGAAAGAGGAGAAAAGCAATGGACACACAAGACGAGAGGGTTTCTCGTTTGTATCCCAGAGCATATTAGGAAAAAAAAAGATGTAGGGGGGAATCAATGGAAAAAAAAAAGTCAAAAAGGTATCAATCCCAAATGAAGCCAACGCCGTTGTCCGCTCCTTCTCTTGTCCCATCTCTCTATCTGAAGATGAGAAAAAAAGCCGTAGTTGATGGGGGACGCGATGCGACCAAAAGAGCCCAGATGGTATATGGTAAAAATAAAGAAAAGAATTCTCGTTGCGCCCCTCTCTGTTCGTAAACCCTGATGCTAGTTGAACTTTATCGTTGTATCCAAATGATGCCCCTGTGCCTTGGAGGAACCCGAAAATGAAAGCGAGAAACAAGAAGAACCAGATGATTGAGAAGAAGAAGAAAAAGAAAGAAAAAGGAGGGGGAGTAAAATTAGAAAACAAGGAGGAGCAAGCGTTGGTGTTGTTGTTGTCGTCGTCGTCGTTGACAATCCCTGCATTAAGGAAAGGGAGGATGAGGAGGCTTGGGCCCGTTGGCGCCGTTCCTATAATATGGTGTTCTTTGAAATCCAGAGCCAGAACTAGAGCCAGCACCAGAACCAGAGCCAGAGCCAGCGCCAGAGCCATCAGCACCGGAGCCACCAGCACCAGAGCCACCAGCACCAGAGCCACCAGCACCAGAGCCAGCACTAGAGCCAGCACTAGAGCCATTGTCAGGTGTCCCCGTGTTGCTGCCGCGGCCGTTGGGGGTATATGATGTATAGGCCCGGTTGCCAAAGTTGGGCGGCCTAGGCAGGCCCGGGGGAGGGCCACTGGCCGCCGTAAAGCCGTTAGCTGTGGACGAGGGCATTCCGTTGACAGGAGCCATGTTTCCATGAGGAGGCTGCGCGGGGTTGTTGCGGACACCAAGAGGATTCTTGGAGAAGCTCAGGCGGATGCCACCCTTTGAGCTGTTGTTTAAACAAAATCCGTACAGCTGGCTGAGTGCTTTGGTGGCATGGCCAATGTCTTCGAACTCGACAAAGCACATGGGTCCGTTCTGCTTAGTTCTGAAGCACAACCTCTTGTAGCCCCGCACGCCGCCGAACAAGAGCTTGAGCTCCTCCTCGGACGTGTCGCCGGGCAGGTTGCCAACGTAGAGGGTGTTGCAGGGCGGGTTTTGATCCGCAGGGTTGACGGGAGGAAAGTTGGGTCTTCCATACGGCGCCTGTTGCTGTTGCCGTTGCTGCCGTTGCTGCTGCCGTTGTTGCTGCTGCTGTCGCTGCTGTTGCTGTTGCCTGTCCTGCTGAGGTTGCGCTCGTGGCTGCTGCTGCTGCTTATTATGCTGCGGCAGCGATTGTTGTTGTGGATTTTGCTGCGGCAGTTGAGAAAGCTGATGACGCTGCTGTGACTGTAGCTGTAGCTGTAGCTGTAGCTGTTGCTGCTGTTGCTGCTGTTGTAGCTGTTGTAGCTGTTGCTGCTGTTGTAGCTGTTGCTGCTGTTGTAGCTGTTGCTGCTGTTGTAGCTGTTGCTGTAGCTGTAGCTGTAGCTGTTGCTGCTGTTGCTGCTGCTGCTGCTGTTGCAACTGTTGTTCAAGGCTCAGATAGTTGCCATTGCCGTTGGCGGAAGTCAGACCCGGCATGTACGACGCCGACATTGGCGAGGGCGTAGAAGAGGCGCCCGAGTTGAGAGCCAGGTTTGCCATTGCTTGGTTGATGGGGTCTTGAGGCGTAGTGCCTCTCCGCTGGGCAGGGGTGGCCTTACCCGCGTAGGCAAACGAATCCCTAAGGAGCTCTCTGTCGTCATCATCGCCGAGCTCATCGTTGATGAGGTGCTTACCCAGTCGTCCTGACGCCTCGTTGGCGAGATGGTTGCCGATAGGCGAATGGGGGTTAAAGAGGCTCTTGTAGTGGCTGCCGGCTTGGGTGTCCGGAGCAGCAAGGTCCTGATGAGGAGGAGCAGCCGTGAAAAAGCGACCAGCCCTGGACGTCGGCGACAGTGCGTCACGCGGCGGAAAGCCGTTGCCGATAGGGGCCGGCTGTGGACGATAGATTGACGCCGTAAAGACATCCGCGCTGACATTGGATGCCGGGTTCGGCACGGCGAATGGCGCACTGACGGGCGATCCAATGGCGGGCGATCCAACGGCGGGCGAGGACAAGATAGTAACAGCCATGTTGGCGCGGCCGTCCATGTTGGCGCGGCCGTGGAGCATTTTTTGGGCTTCAGTCGCGCCATTCATACTCCGAAAGACCACCACAGCCGAACGGTAGTAAATGCCCTCATAGCTGTCGGGGCCCGTGAGCTGGATGCCGACGAGCTCCTGAGAAAAGACGAGCATAAGACGCACCTCGGCCTCCGAGATTGTGGGCGGCAGGCGTTGGATCATGACACGCACCGGCGCCTGGGGAAGGGGCGAGTCATGGTCAAAGAAGGACGCGCCCACGTCGCCGGGGCGAAGAGGGACCTGGGGATACTGCTGAAAAGGGATCCTCTGCGGTGGTAGCATCTGAGTCGCGAAAGATGCGCTGTGGGACGACGGTCTAGGAAAAGACGAATGAGGTGCACCAAAGTTCGTCTCGACGCCTCGATCGAGGGGGTTTGGGAGTTCATCCAGAGGCGACGGGGACCAGATGCCCTGGTGAGGCACAGGCCGCCAGGTGGTCGTGGACGGTGGTTGTATTGTCTTTGGCGGCGTCGGCCGTCTCTTGTTGTGGTCGCCGTTCATGGCCACAACGGCGCGAGGACGAAGGGAGGCGGGCGATGACAATCAGGCAGCGACAGTGGAGGGTTGTAGCAGCGAGCAAAGAATGATGAGGCGTAGCCAAAGAGAGAGAGAGACTGTGTGTGCGTGTGATGGTGAGAGAGGGATGGAGCCGGCAAGGTAGTGAGTGATGGCGATGAATAATGCTGTCGCGGTTCAAATAAGACTGCTTCGGGCGGTGGTCGTGGAAAGAAGACGAAGGCAGAATCGGGGGCTCCCCGCAGGATTATATACCGTCGAGAGATGCGCTCGATAATCCAAAACGTCGTCGGGGGGCGCGCGGAAAGTTCGGTGGGCGATATAGCCTTTGGGGCGAATTGAGTTGAGGACAGCGCCGATGCGATGCGCCTAGGGAAATGCAGATAGCAGCGGATGGAGAAGTGGCGCGGCGCGAGATGAGAAGGAAAGGATTGCGAGAGAAGTTTGTAAAGCGGGTGGAAGCGGCGACGGCGGCGGAAAAAAAAGGTTCAGGGCGAGAACGGGGTTGAGGAGGGAAAGCGAGGCGAGGATGAGGTTGAGGTTGATGATGCGTCCAAGTTGGCCCAAAGTTTGGCGGTTTGAGCGGGTTTAGTGAGGCAGCGGCACGGACGCAGGTGCAGTTCGCATATTTCTCCTCTGTTCCGGGGCTTGGCCTTTTGGGGGGGCCTTTTTGGGGCCTTTTTGGGGCCTTTTTGGGGCCTTTTTGGGGCCTCTTTGGGGGAGCCGCAGTTGCAGTTGCAGCCGGGAAAAGGTGGGGAGAGACGAGAGAGGCGTCTTGAGGAGAAAAAGGGTTTTAAGAGAAGATCCAACTCAACTGGAACTCTGCTGGGAGGAGAAAAAGAGTTCAATGGGTAGGCCTAGAATGGGGGCGCTTTTTCGGACCTGCTTCCAGGGAGGCTTTTTCTCATTGGCGCTGGGGCTGATGCGCTAGTTTGCACTGGACCAATTTTGGGGGGGGGGGGGGGGTGTTTTGGTGACGGATTTTGTTTTGGAGGGAGGGTTGGATGGAGGGTCATTACAGGTAAGCGGGTTGGTGATGAATGTCTACGGGCATACAAAGTACATAACCTTAGTATTCAAAGTGAGAAGTGAGTGAGTTGATGAGATGAATCTCAGAGAGTCAGTGGAGGGTTTCGGCGGGTTTCTTATTAGCGGGCTCAGACAGCGACTGAAGTGCCCTAGAAAGGGACCCGAAGAGAGGAGAGGAGAGAGGAGATGAGAGTACGAGTAGTACCTTGGTACCCAAGAGGTACTTGAGAAGGGGGGGAGGGGAGTGCAGAAGCCCCCCAAGAAGGCAACATAAGAAACAGAGGAAGAGGCAGAGAGTGCTAGAGGGCCAGAGAGGGCCAAACTTGAACTGCCCATCGATTTGATTTGGTTTGATTTGCGGTGCGGCTTCAATGTCACTGGCTGCTTGCATCAGGCCAATCGGGGGAGTGGTGCAGCATTTCCCGGACGCTTGGGGGGGTACCTGCACATGCCTGGTCTGGTGCCCTCCTTTGGAAGTTTAGTCTTGCGAGTACCGGCCAGTGTTTCGTCAGCATGCTTGTCGCAGCAGTACCTTGCAGGTAGTTTCCAGCTACGAGTATCCGTACTGGGGCACCACCCCCCTCGGACTAGTGCCAAATGCCCTTTTCCTTTTCTGCTGGTCTGTCTGGTGTCTTTGCCAAAAAATGATGTTAGTGCTTCTTCTAAGTACACCACGAAAAGCTTGTTGTTGTTGTTATCAAGGCTGGCCAAGAAGAAGAAGAACAAGAAGAATCAAAAATTATAAATCAAAAATTACAAAAATTACTATATTCCTAGTACCTAGTAGATATTCATCTATTTACTGTAACCTGGTACTAATACTTTTTTTTTTTCTAAATATTCTCTAAGAGAGAATGTGTTGGGCAACAAGAGGTGCGTGCCAAGTCGCACATGTACATCAGGTACAAACAAGACGGGCAAAAAGGTACATACAAACATGAACCAAAAAACAAAACATCACCAAAACCCTACGTGCGTCTTTGAAGATTCATCCCGGTAAAGCATCCAGGTGACACCTTGCTTCCCTTGCTCGTCAGATTCGATACGGCCGTCCAAGATCCATGTAAACAAGGGAGCACCAGCACAGCACAGCACAGCATAGCATAGCACAGCACGTCACGTCAACTCACCACTCCCTAGACGACCACCTGTTGCATTCCGCCCTGAATCAACCGCCGTGGCTCCGTCTCCATGGCCTGCGGCCTCCCAGGCTGAAGAGCAGAAATGAGAGACTATTGCGGAAAACTCTACGGTCCCATTTCCAAACCCGCTGCCGAGCTGCAAGAGTTCCATCTTCTACACTCTGCCAGATTCATCGGTGCCTTGCCTTGGCCAAAGGTAACAGGTCATATCTCGTGCATGCACGCTTCCATTTCCACGCCGCCGCTTGCGTGCAATGAAAGTGCCCGAGCCGCCGCTGTACTCGTCCCTGTCCCGTGCATGCAACTGCAACTGCTACAAACACCGCAATCGGGTCGGTTCAGCGTCAGCACCAGCACGAGTGAGTACCTGCTCGTACATACACCAAGGCAGACAATCAAAGCCAGGGAGTCCCTCGTTCAACGGCCCAGCCCAGGCATGAGCATCCAACCCAGTCCAAAACGACACGAGTACGGAGTACCAAACCCAAGAATCCATCCAGGCTGGCAGTCCCGCAAAAGATAAAGAGTGTGTGTGGGGTTTCTGATCGATCCACAAATTGAAAAAATGGCCACTGCCCACTAGAGGCAGCCACTGCGCCCTATTCCGCAACAGGCAGCATCCCTCCAAGTTGATGCTCTTCCATCCTCCATGTTTATCGACATGGAGCAGCGCGCGTGCTGCAGCTTTTTGCTGCTAACCTCCTCTGCTAAATGTATGTCCAGGTCTCTACAGGCAGGGGGGGAACCAGCTTGAACTTATCAGGGCTGTACAAGTACTAGGTAGTCGCGTTGCGGCGGCTTTGAGCGAAGCGTTACTGAAGGCACTGCGCCAGACATTCTTGTTTGTGCCACCTGCTGCTACCCCTCCAGCTCGTCGACAGGGGGGGCTTGAAGACACACAAGTACGAGTACTACCGCAGATACTTGGCCGACCACTGCGTGCTGCAGCACTACCAAGTACTGCATCGTGTACTCGTACAGTAGCATCCAGCGATGGCCGTGTCTATCATCTGGAACAAACCCGTGCCGCCTCTGCACTTGTTTTGTCGCACCTGGCACTTCTAGAACACGCCGCCATGGTCCCTGATGCGACGGTGTTTTTTTTCCTTTTCTTTTTCCCCGTTTCTTTTTCCTCCCCCCCTTTTGCGTGTCGCTTGGCAGTACGGACGAATAACCTTGTCCACGGTGCATCGCCTTGGATCGTGCTGATTATATAGACTTGATTTTCGCGCGCAGCTCTTCATGCTTACCCAAGCGGCCATTCAAACAAGAACACGTATACTTCCTCCAAGAAAAAAAAAACATTCAAGAAAAACAAAGAAAGACGATCCAATACTGATTTTTCTCCCTCTACTACTAGTACTTCTCCTCTTCTCGACTTGCATTATCCATCATGGGGGATGCAGCATCATTGCCCCTGTCACTGCCTGCACTGCAACACACCCGCGGGAAGTTGGCGGCAACCCGTCCTCGGAAACCTTGACAGCCAACATTGAAACGTGCTTGTGGTCGATGGTGGCACTTGAAGATGGGCTGGGTCTTTTGGCACGCGCGGATTTGCTCTCCGTGCTCGTGCGAGCCTCACCAAGGGGGTGTTTCTGAGGCAAGTTGCGGCATCGTTCCCGCCCGCCACACTGAACGAGCATCCCTCCATCCATACAAACATGAAGCAGCGCGCAGTGATGAGTGATGAGTGATGACGAGAAGACGATACAGCTGAGGTATGTACTACCTACCTTGGTATCCGTAACTCATGGCAGTACAGGACAGGACACGTAGCATCGCGGGTGGAGGCGGCGCGCTCAACCGCCTGCATCCCTCCCCCGAGGCTGCAAAATCTGGTGGCCGTAAATTAGTAGTACATACTCGTACGAGTAGTATCCGTCCGTATAGGGAGTACCGCAAACAATTACTGATGCATCACATCGCATCTCGTCTTGTCCCATCCCACCCGAGATTCGGCAATGGCTCATGACCATCTTTAGCTCAGACACAAGCACGTGCAAATTGCCCATTGGTGGGGCTATCTGCAGTGGGGTCGCTGCCGACTTTGGAGTACGTCCCACGGCTCGGAGGCGCACGTCGTGCTAGAGGTACCACTCCGTACGAGGCTACGCCGCATTCGTTAGCACTAAGATTGCAGATTATGGGGAGCAACGGCCGGCCAACCACACGCCGCCGTCGCCATACACTAGCAGGGCAGCTTATGCATGTCAAATTGCTGTCCTCGATGGACATGATGCCAAACTGCCGCTTCATTGGACGCGCGCGCGTCGTTCATTTTGCGCTGGCGGACGCCATTCCGCTGCAAGAGAGGGGGGGAGTCTAGGAGATCATTGCCCCCCCCCCCGACGAAGCTCGCCCATCACACCACTGGCGCGCCGACTTGCCCCTGTTCATCAGGAACCGGCATTGGATCAGTCCAGCATGGGTCGAGCCATCGTCTGTACTCGTACTCGTACAAGCTCTCTACTGTATGTAGTTCGAATTCTCCGTGCACTTCTTTGACTAAGAACTACGGTACGGTACGAGAACAGGTGTTCTACGAGTACTATCCCGTACCAATACCAGTCTCCCGAATCCAGATCGCATCTGCTAACGGAGCTTCTGCAGGTATTGCTACCGGCGACCGACGGCCGAACCTGTTCATCGCAAACCACCTTTCAATGGCTGTGTTAGGCGGCTTGATACGAGTCTTGCCTCCTGGTAAGACTCGATAGAACAGAGGACAAGGACAAGGAGGCTTGAATCCCAAGAGGGGGACCACACGGCCGCAGAAGTGGCCCGCTTGCCCTACGGACAGACACGACGACT